TCTTGGTGCTTTGACTAAACCATAGGCCATTCTACCTGCCTTAAACGATTAGTTGAAGGAGCTCGTATATATTTTTAACGTAAGACGTGTCTGAAGTAATCAAGTTTCCTTTTTTATTATCAAATGTTAAATAAAGAACATAATTTTCATTTGTCTGCCAAACAAAAAGGTTCTTCTATAAATATATTTGTTTTGGTGACCCACGAGATTCTTTTTAATCATTTGACATTAATAATACATATGCTACCCCCAATTCAATACTATTTTAGTACTGTAATAAGTATATTTCGCTCGAGCGGTGAAGGAAAACAACGTGAGGAAACCGGCCTAAAAGTCGACGGCGTGTGTCAGGCACAGGAGGCTGATCACCGACTTGTTTATTAGATTGACAAATGATCATGAAACTGATACAGAAATCTGAGGCGCAGACCTAAAGAGATTGTCGCGCCACTGGCTTTTTTTATTTATTAGGTACTGTAACAATGTTATATATGGCAAAACAACGTTTGCTAGACAGCTAGATTTATAACCATTAATGAATTATATTAAAGTGTCCTGTCTAGAAGAGCAAATACACTTAAACAATTCACATAGTTAAAACACTATGCACTATAATACTTGAAATAGATAAGTACAAGTGAATTAATTCAACTGTTTTGTAAACAGTACGGGGAGCTATCACAATAAATTAACAAGCATTTGCATTAGGAGTGACTACACTGAAGCGAAAAATTGCAAACAAAAAGTGTAGACTGCAATTTAGGACAGGCATTTGTAATATTTATTTATTTATTTCCTACAGCTATTTACTAAACAATATCCAAACAATTACATTATACACAAAAGCCAAAATCGGAATACACATTCAAAAATAAACAAAGCACAGTTTCACCTATATATACAAAAAATATAACAAAGTATTAGTATAGAATTTAGTATTTATAATAAATTCTAAATTCTAAGTTCTAAGATTCATTGATCATTATAATATATATTAATTACAAAGGAAGTATAACAAAGCCTTTATTAATAAACGATACCAGAGTTTTTTGTTTTATTTTTTAAGCATATATTACCTTAAATATATCTATCTATACATGACTGAGGTATGTACGTAAATAGTAACTATTATTTCTTAATGTTTATTCTCCTCCAACTTAAACACTTAGTCTTTCCTCAGGTATCCAAGTTAAACGTTAACTGTGGCACGAAGTGCTTACAATAAGGGTAAGCCAATGGGACGAAATATGACTACCCTACGTAAAAATTTTACCCTAAATCGCAGTTGCTCTGTCGGCCTTTTAGAATATGTATTTACGCTCTTTAACATATAAAAGCAGCCAAATGGTTAAGCGAGGACGCCCTTGACTTGCGAACTGGTATTTTAACATCTTTTCTGTTGACGTTCATGTGTTCTTGGTTACCTATATATGTATAAAGTTATTTCGAGTTTGAGTTTAATCACAGGGGTCGTACATTCGCTGCGATATATTTTTAAGTGCACATATATCACGCAAGATTTGTACAGTGAAGAAAACATCGTGACAGTGGTATTGTCTAACTTGAAAATTTGTGAGAGACAGGCTAATAATATCACTTAAACATACGCAGATATATCTGCCCCTAAATACAATATATATTGTGACCCAGTTGCAAATTCAAATTTATTATTCTTATATAGTGTAAACACAGCTCACAAATTATTCATATTGCATTTAAATCTATTGTCTTTATGTTGGCTTGGAAAGGACAAGGCGATTGGCGCCAGACTCAAGACCGCCTAGATTCTAGATTGTCAGACCCTTGACCTGACGCTTATCTTTGTTTAAAGCTGTGGCTAGAATGACTAACGATACGGCGAATCGATAAAGCTCGAAATCGTAAACTTTTGTGTTTTGGGGAGCTGAGTATAAGAAACATTTGCTATAAATAAGAAAGAAAAGTGAAGAGTAGACTCTTCTTACATTGGTGGTCTGAAAATATCGATTTATAAGGTTTGTGGTGCCTAATAATTTAAGTGTATTGTCATGAAAATTAAAAATAAAATTAATCAATGGCGCTACTATCTATTAGGTTATGTTTTCTTTCACCGTTCGAGCGAATGTTATATGCGCAAATAGACAGTCCATTAGTGCACAGCCGGGATCGAATCGACGACCTCAGGGTTGTGAGCACGCTGAAGCCAATAGGCCAACACTGCTCGTATTGTAATGCAACAGTATCTCAAAGTTAGGAATCGTATTGGAATTGGCATGGAGCACGAGATGGTCGCACCTTTGCTGTCTGTTCCAATCCCGGCTGGGATAAAATATTAGATTATTGTTCTATGAAAAAACTAAATCGTAGCCCTATAATAGGATTACCGTGATGCCTCTTATGAGCATCAGCGATACGATGAGAGTATTATTTTTTTTATAGAACAGGGGGCAAACGGGCAGGAGGCTCACCTGATGGTTAGTGATACCGCCGCCCATGGACTCTCAATGCCAGAGGGCTCGCCAATGCGTTGCCGGCCTTTTAATTTAAATTTAAAATAATAAATTCATTTTGTTGTATTAAATTATACAATAAAATATTTTAAAATTTAATGCAACAAAATGAATGTAAGTCACAAAGCATTGGCGCTATAAGTCCTGCACTCCATCTCTTCACAAATTTGGGTACCAATATCTCTTCCATACATGGCATTCGATATTTAAATTCATATAGAGCTAACAACTTCAACCTCGAGTTTTACAACTTAAGAAAACACTATTTATTTTAATTTCAATATAGTTGTGTCATAGTAATGTAGACATTCAATGCCTATATATGGTTCGCGTAATCGCGCCACCCACACTTAACTCACACAATTAACAATATTTTTAATTATCGTCTTTTGATGTTAAATCGATTAAGAAATCCATTACGGTTATTTTGAACTACTACATATGAAATAACTAGATCCGTGAGACATTTATTCAATAATAATAGTAACTTTATTCAATACAGAAAAATGGTCGTGACCTGGCACTGTTGTCGGTAACTAGATTACAATACCACACATGGTGCATATTTAAAACATTTTTTTAAAAATTAGTTTTAGTGTTAACTCTAATCAAACAAAAGTCTACACGACTTCAGTATACGTGAATGTAATTATGTGAAAGGGTGTGTGTGTGTGAACGGCTAAAATTGTGTACCATAGCTACTTTCATAGCGTTATGTCGTACGGCATTTTACTGTGGGGTGCTGCTGCAGAGGTTCAATCCATATTTGTGCTGCAGAAGCGGGCTGTTCGGGGTATTTGTTGTGTTTCTCCGAGGGAGTCGGTACGGAATAAGTTTAAGGAATTAAATATTATGACACTATCTGGTCAATATATTCTTGAAGCCTTGTTGTATGTCCAAAAAAATATAAACGATTTTAAAACAAATGGTGACTTTCACCAGTATAATACGCGAAATAGAACTAATTTGAGTGTACGACCAACCAGGCTCCAAAAAGATAAACCACTCCTTATATGGAAATTGTATTCGTTTTTACAACAAGCTCCCAAGCGAAATTAGAGAATTATCACTAAATAAATTCAAAGCCCTCGTTAAACGAAAATTAATCAACAAAGCTTTTTATAAATTTGAGGACTACTTAAATGATCCTAATCCTTGGGATTGAATTGCTCCAGTTCAAACAATTTGTATGACAATACTTGGCGATTAAAAAGAGTGGCGGAAAGTTTCTTGCCAGTTCTTCTTACCCGCTCTACGCCCTTGACTTGCGAACTGGTAGTAAATGTAAATTTACGATTAATTTAACTTGACGATTCAAAAGTGTACTTGGTTACCTACTTGAATAAAGATATTTTGAGTTTGAGTGTGTGTGTGAATGAGAGTGGGCTGAGAGTTGTTAGAGAGTGTATCTGTGTTAGTTTTTGAACCTCGGTCGTTTAAAAAAATGTAGGCTCTAAGCTAGCATAATTTTATGCGTTTTGTTTATATCTGGATAGTATGATTATCTCAAATCGGGTGATTTTCTTTAAAACTGTCCAGTTGGCTTGCAGTCTCGCTCATTAATTTAAACGATTTCATATAACTCCCAGCTCCCTTATAAGTACATATTTCGCTTAAAAGTAGCTTATATCTGTATCTCTTTACCAATATTTATGATAATCAATTCAGCTGTTTAGACATAAATAAGTAATGAAGAAACGTTCGTGCGTCCAATGTGTCCCTATACAATAATTTATAATCTAAAAATTGTCATAATGGGCCGAAATTATAATTACGATAATTCTTCGAATCGCTTCTGCAATTCGCACATTCGAGATTGTATTTCTACGAATCATAGATTTTTGTATCCAACTCTTACATAACTCGAAATAAATAGATTTACAGACATTTATAGATCACAACGATGGCATCACCACCTGCATTAAAGGAAATATCCGTTTCGCGTGGAAATATGCAATTTTCCTGTCTCCGCAACTTTGATAAATCTCTCAGTTTGACTATCCCGTTTTGTCATATTTATTTTCATTTAAAAACAATTTTACCTGCATCGGTAATGTGTATGAGCATTTTAAACTATTCAATTCTCACTAGCCAAATATTAAATAAAGTTTTACCTGAATTTTCTAATATAATAGATTTCGTTTCTTATGGAAAAGCAAGGTATTTTGTCAAAATATCAGCCAGCCAGCTCAGTGAGTATCGCTTTGTGGTATTTTTTTATAGCATATAGTGGACAAACGATCCTACGAAACGGGCTCCTAAAGGGCAGTCATCGCAGTCCAAGCACACCCATTTTAGTTGGTGCGTTGCCGGCCTATGACTATGCTCTTTTTTAAAACAATTACAGGTCTCCCAGTATAGCCCTCCACGGGGAGTCTATTCTACAGTTCGATAGTTCGCAAAAACATAATATATATAACTATTATAGTTAGACGTAATTCATATTAGCCGATAAAAGACGAGAATATAGATTCATCATAAAAGGTACTTCATAGAATATTTGCGTAAATATCAAGCAAACATTAACCCAGCTTCGGACAAACACACACCCATAATTACCGAGCCCATCTGATTTCGAACCCAAGACCTCCGCTTAACATCTTCTCGGAAATCTCTGTAGCCTTTGAGCCCCCGCAACTGGTTAAAAAATTATCATTAGATTTTTTTTAAACGGCTATTGTCATAGAAGTCTTAATATCTGTTTGTACAATTTTGTATTTACTTAATTAAAGTATCTTGTAAAAACAGCAAAAGAGTAGAACGCTTTGCTCCCTCCTTCCGTCTTCCCAAGGTTGTATAATATGGGTTAATTTAAGAGGCGGTTAAATATACATCTCCAATAGGCCACAGCTCACTTAACATCAACAAAAAAAGGACAAATTTTCTCATATTATTACTTGCATTAAAGCCTTTTTGTAAACCCTTTAAGAATTAATCTAAATCGGACTTCCGAGTTATAAATATAAAAATATGTAACAGTATACTGCTTTTAAAATATCAATTTCGTTAACTTATATATCTCTCTCCTTGATAAGATTATCACTCTCATAATCTTTGTTATCACAATCCGACAAAACCCGTATCTTTAGACTGTCAGGAATCAAAACATTAAGCCAAAATATTTAACAGTATATCATTTCTTTGCAGAAATTATTACAAGAAACTTCTAACGACCTGAAAGCGATTTTGGAATAACTGGGACTTGAGCGCGAAAGCTTGTACAGCTTTTCCTTCTTTTTATGTAGGGAAATCGTAATAAGCTTTCCCAATATATATAAAACTATGTAAACTGTTACGTATATTGTCAATGAATGTTAACAAAAGTAATTAAATAAATACAAATGTGTCTATTAATAATTATAACAATGCATTACAAAAAAAAAACCTGTGTCAGGGTTCCCAGCTCTTCCACAACAAACTTTATTGTTAATTTCATAACAAATTTAATATATTTTTTTAGAAATTACAATTTAATTTTTTTAAACTGTTTACAAAACCTTTTAAGGTTTCGCACTTAGACTCTCATTAGCTCCTTGCAGAAGCACTGTTTACAACAAATTCTTCTCTCAATTCTTTCCTGTGAGTGTGTGGGTGCATGTGAGTGAATGAGTCAATGTAATGTGTAACAATATGTTAGGTCTCAGGAGCATCTCCTACTCTGCGTAAGGTGTTGTTTTAATTGTGGGCGGTGAAATTTTAAGCAGCCTATTTAATTTGTACTTTAAATAAAAATAAATTAGTGGCGCTACAACCTCTTTAGGTCTAGGCTCTAACCCACACCTATAGACCTCAGATGTCAGAATCTGTTCCATAATCATTTTTAAATCTAATAGGCAAGTAGTCTGACACACACCGTAGACTTTTGTGTCTAAGAAATGTCGGTTTCCTCACGATGTTTTCCTTCACCGTTCGAGCGAATGCGCACATACAAAGAAAGTGCATTGGTGCACAGCCGGGGATCGAACCTACAACCTCAGGGATGAGAGTCGCACGCCACTAGTCTAACATTGCTTACCAACTTTATTATGTATGATTAGGAGCTTCAAAGCTGTCGAGCCAAATAAGGCGTCTTCAATGCGATGGCGTCATTTGAAATGTCACATTACGTGAGTTCAATCTACTTTATACTTTCCATTTCTATTGCGTAAATGTCCTGACGAGGTGAACCGGTACACGAATTAAGTTCATGATTTTTTTCTAGTCCTATTTAAGTTCAAGCTAACGGATGAAGATTAAACCTATACCTTATATTGCAAAAGTATCGGTAAATTCGGTTTGTGGATAACTTTTCTTTTCTTTGAAGGAAAACTCTTGCCCGTTTGCCTCCTATTACATAAAAAAGCACCCTGAGTCGAATTGGTTCAGAAATACATTGGTGGGCAGCTGGTTCCACATGGTGGTGATACACGGCAAAGATAATGGCACGGCACTTGTGGAACGATAGACGTCGAGGTGATACTGGTGGAATTTCGTATTCTGCCTCGACGTCCGATCATGTTACTCAGCAGGTATTAGTCCGAACAAAAATCCGAGCTTGTTCGAAGACAAATTTAAATATATCTATAACTTGGCATGCAATTTCTTTTCCCACAAACATATAAATAAAAACTGGCCGATAGAAATATAATTCATTCATTTGTTCAGATAAATATAGCTCATCTGTATGCGCACTTTTTTTTTATGATATGGTAAAAACTGGCAGGATCCTCGAGGCTTTAACACCAAAGGGCTCGCCAGTAGCCGGCCTTTAACCCAAATATATTGACTACGTAACTATCACATCTTAACCCACAAAGATAACATTGTAAATATTTACAAGACTAACGCAAGACCCATATGTTTTCAAGAATTTTCATTACATAATAGTACTACTAGTGATATGTGCCTAAAATTTAGTTGTATTTTGTTTAGGTCAAAATGCACCGCAGGGTAATTCCCGTACGCACGGTAGCCAAAGAACTATTGTCATTAATGTTTTTTTACAAACAAGGAAAATTGTTATATGTAGCGTAATGAACTATATAGAATAGAAATAAGTATGTTTGTATAGTGACTCGTAGTCAATTTGGTAAAAAGAAAAATTAGAAAGACAAAAAAAGGGTTTTTCAAAAGTGCTTCACTTTTCAAAGCTAGATACCATTATTATGTGATAATATTGCTTTTATACACATCGTAAAATCGCATCAAAAGCTCGTTATAATAGCTAATCGGAAGAACCTTACACAAGTCTAAATTTAATATCACGATTTGTGTAGTTTTATTCAAATTCAACCACGCACGGCAATTATATCTACCTAAAGAATTATGTACAATTACAGTTCGCTTTTGTCCTCCATATTTCATAATTACGTCAACAATTATTCATAAATTACATGTTTTTTTACGTTAAAATTTTAATTATTTTATTTTTACTTGCAAATGTTAATAAGAATATCAGTACCATATAAAATATTTCTCAATAAACGGTTGAATTATTTAAGGCGCGTCGGTACTTGGCTCAATTTAAATATTTAAGGTCAAGTGGATGTCGCGAAATCTAGCAAAATAAAACGCAAGCACATTAAAATGTAGTACAAGGTAATAGAAACGGGCAAATACTTTGAGGAAAACATTCGAAGAGGAATATCCTTAAATAGGCAATTTAACTTTACAACAAATAATTAAAATAAACATTTTCCAATTATGGTTTCAATTTTTTAACGGGACAGATTTGGTACAGCGACAGAAGAGTTTGTATAGGTTACGTTGTTAACATTATATCGAAAACACTACTTTTTCAGAAGATAATATCGATCAAATGTGATTAACCGAACACAAATGAAGTAATTCCCTACTTGGCCTAACATGATACTATTATGGTATGGTTGGTATTAGAATTTAAAAGAAATATCAAAAATAATAGCGCCTTCAAAAACTAAAAGATAAATTTCAATGGCACAATCATAAAGAAATAGATATTCCAGCTTTTGTGGCTAGGCTTGAAGAACAATTCACTAACCTGGAAATGCAGAATGATGGTCCATATTAAGCCGAGGGTAAGTTTGGGGTTGCCATCAACGATGTCCTCAGCTCGGATGTTGACCAGCTTAATCTTCTTGTATCGGAGGAAATCCAGGGCCATTTGAACGTTCTGTAGCATGTGGAAACGCATCCGACCTCTCTCCCGCGGCTGTAAGAAGAGTTTTATCAGGATTTGTGAATAGGCAAAACTTAAATTAGGAATAGCGTGACTCCCTTATGACATTTTCTTATTTATTTCAGATAAACGGCAGACACTCAGCGCTAATTTTGGCATTCCTAAGTTTGCATAGTGTTGTATAAGTCTGACACTTAAAACCTAATAGAAAATCGGTATTTTATATAACTTTATTTATTTACAATTCGTTGGCGTAAATACAGTACACATAAAAAAAATCAGTGGCGCTACAACCTCTTTAGGTCTTGGCACCAGATTTCTGAATCTGTACACGTAAAATAATAAAATATAGAGGAGGCCAACTGGCGGCCTTATCGCTTTTGAGCGATCTCTATCAGGAAAAAAATTATAACGAAATATTATAATTTATAAAAATCATAACAAAATATGAACGAAACAAAGCAATTCAAACAAATGTAGATCAGTTAGTATGAAAGTAAAAGTAGAGTTTTAAAGACATATATATATATAGTATTGAGAAGAGATATGTATATATAAATACACCATTACTAATAGCAATATAAATTGTAATGTGTAGATAACTTAAAGGAAGGTATCAAGTTATACATAATAATCATAATAGACTAACACAAAAATACTCATCAAGAAAATCCTCCTTTAGAAAATTATTGATTGATACTAACGGAACCATTCAAGTTAGTAAAAATTGGCATCGCGAAACCACACCCAAGCAATACTTTAAAATGGTCAAGCCCTTCGCAAATTCATGTTATCGTAAATCACGACACACCCAACTAAGCGATGCCTTCCTAACACGACATGCACGGTCTTTTGAAGCTTTTTCATTTATCTAATACAGGGTAAACTCTTTATAACGGCATTCGTTATAAAGAATAATCCTCTATAACGTACAAATGAGTTGAATTTGAATTGAAAAACACATAACCCATATATAACTCTTTATAACGCAACAGCCATTCTCTATTATTAAGAAATATTTTCATATTTAGACATCAATAATATACTTAATAGTAATTGTTTTTATAATCAAGCTGATTAAAACTAACCTATTGAGGTGCCGAAATTTCTAAGAAAGACACCTTAGGTCATAAACCGCCGTTTCGCCTTTGTTATTGTTAATTGCATTAACACGTGTGCAATTATTCTTAGATTAAATTGCCTGTAGGAAATTTTGGTCTCAGTTACTAAGCGCACTATTGTCACCTATCGCGTATTATCAGTCGTAAACAAACTTTGAAACTGTCAAGATGGCCAGTAAAATAAAAGCGTTATGTGTTAACGTAATTGGTTTAATTTGTTATATTTTCTCTTCCATCCATATAAGGAAAAAAAAATGGTCGATCGATCGGTGAAAATCGTTATAAAGAGTTTAAACTGTATTAGTAAATAGCTAGCTTAGATTTTGCAACTTAAATACCTATAACTTAAAGAAATTGCAAAACTTAAATTGGAATAGATAGATAAACCTAATTAAAAAATCACAGGGGCTTGCATTATTGTACTAATAAAATAATATAAGAATTAACATTGGTGATAATATATAACTACTATGTAAAATACAACCTTTCACGTAAACAACATTGTTATGTGTGGCAAAATATGCGATGATTATTTGTAACATATTCTTGCAAATAAATTATTATTATTATACAACTTGTAATTAACACGCAAAACTGTTAAAACAGCAAGGATTCCGACTCAAAATTTTAATTTAAAAAAATATCGATTTTTAAAACAACACTTGGAAACTTGGAAATCATAACCATATTTCTAAATAGATTTTAGGTCATTTATTTATTAAGTTTAGTTAAATACATAGAAAAACGGAACAGCTGTTGAAATAAATCAATCAGGGTAATGAGGGCAGGTGTCGAACCCTTACCCTTGCAGCTGAGGTCAAACTAATATACAGTGAACTAACTTTACCATCGTATTCCTTAACTATACTTAAATTAATTTAATAAAAATAGATTTTTTTTAAAGACAATTCACACCAATTGACCTAGTCCCATGCTAAGCTGGTGAAGCTTGTGTTATGGGTACTAGGCAACGGATATACAAACATATTATAGATAGATAGACATACCTATAAATACATATTTAATCACCCAAGACCTAAGCACAACACCAAATGCTCATCAGCTCATCACATCGATGTTCGTCTCAGCCGGGGATCGAACCCGGGACACATGGATTCGCAGCCCCTGGCTGCTACTAACCACTAGACCAATGAGTCGTCAAACTTGCTCAAACGGAATTATTTTTTTTTTAAATATTTATTGAACACTACTGCTGTAAGCATTTAAAATATCGATTTTGATTAATTTCAAGCTAAACTTGCTACCAGCATGAAAATTGCTTAGCAATGTTCCTTACATATCTTCAAAACCAAAACAATTAAATTCACTGGGAATCAAACTCTTTACGCCCTTTAATCGGACTTTGTACAGTGGCTTTTTTATAAAACAAATAGCTTAAATTAAAGTTTAAACCCAATCATTATGATAGTAATATTTACCAGGTGTTCGCCAGAAAGCACCTCCAGCAGGGAGATAAGGTTGAGTCCATCCCGCAGGTCTTCGAAGAGATCGTTCACGTGTCTGTTCACCTGGAAATTATAGCATCTTATTAGTATATTAAGTAAAGTGTGATTGATATATTGACATTGTAACTATAACAACTAATCAACATTTTACATTTATCTTAATTTTATAGATAAAATAACAATCTACATACAAGCAAGAACTATGATTAACTATCTATATGTCATTATATTAGTTAAATTATAACTAGGCACAAATAGTTTCTAAACTATTAAATTAAAATTGCTAAAACGGAATTAAAACAATTTATTTTATTTATTGACTATTTCTGCTGCAATCATTTAAATTTTCGATTTTGATAAAGTAATTAATTCGTTTAAGTCCGTTAGAGAAGTTTAATTTTATTGTGATTTACATTAGTCAAGATTAAAACTACGTGCTATTAAGTGCACACGAATCAGACCAGAAAAAAATAAAGAAATATTAAACTTAAGATTTTTTATTTACCACTTAAAGTGGGATCTACTTAAAAGCCAAATAAGACAACTAACAACTGATGAAAATCCCTTTTTTCTGGACTGATACAAAGTTAAGTATATTATACAAAATGGTATTAAAAATTACAGCTTAACCTAGCTGCATGCTTTACATTTAATAATGAAGTTTAAAAAAAAATAATGTGCAAGAATATTAATGAAATATATCTCTTATCTACCATACATTGTCTCCAAATTTAAATTAGGAAGAGCCAGTTTAATAAAAACTTATCTACCATCTCTTTTGTACAAAACTAAATCTCATCTATTCATTTAATAATACATTTAGGTCCGTATCTTGGCCAGTTTAGGCACGCTAGAGAAATGTTCGCACATATACTTTTCTACATCAACAAATTTTGCAACTTAAATACCTATAACATTAATTACATAGAAATTTATGAATACATAATCGATTGGAGGACTTTATATATCTTTAATATAAAAATGAGATACATAATATTTCTCAATTAGACTTGTGATACAAATATATCAATGATTAATCTTTCTTCTGTTTTCTACTTCATTTAAAAAAGAACACTACAATCATAAGAGTCACCAAATGCAACTGCTATCACTTTTTGACACTCACATTGCCAAAAGGCTCGCAAGAACGTTGCGTTGTTTTAAGTATTGGTACGCTCTTTTGAAGGACCCTACGTCAAATCGGTTCGAAAATACTTCAGTGGGCAGCTGCTTCCACATAGTGATGGTGCACGGCAAAAACTGCCTTAAAAATCGCTCAGTTGTGGAACGACGGACATCGAGGTGATACTGATGGAACTTAGGTAGCGATCTTTTCCAGTATTAGATTTTTTAAATAATGTAATTTGAGAAAGAAACAGAAAATTTAAAACACCATTGATTTAAAACCCCTTTATTTAATGTTAAATAGGAATTAACTTAACAACCTGTATAATAATATAGACAAAATCAATCAAACTAAATGGAGAGTTGTATCTATCGCTGATAACACTTATGCATTTACTTAATTAGCGCCTATTAGCTACAGTGCGAAGCTTCACACAAGGCGCATGCCGACTTACTTGTTGAGGCGGACAACAGGGTTGATTGTTGACAATCTCGCAGACATGAAGACGTGTGTACGTCTGTCCGAGCAGCGTGAAAAGTTCAAACACCTGAATTTACATTATTTGTATCAAGCATGAATAACAAAACTATTGTGTTGTGAGACGTTTCTTGACGCGCATAAAAACAAAACGCATTCGAAACGTTTAGGTATGTTTCAATTAAATAGTTATCAAATTAAAAGTTTCATAAATGTTGGGCAGGTTTAGGATAGTGGCTTCAGCGAACGACTCTCATCCGTGAGGTCGTAGGTTCAATCCCCAGCTGTGCACCAATGGACTTTCTACGTACACATTTAACATTCGCTCGAACGGTAAAGGAAAAAAGTCGACGGCGTGTGTCAAGCACAGGAGGCTGATTACCTACTTGCCTATTAGATTGACAAACTGTCATGATTCAAATACCTATATCTGAGGCCCAGACATAAAAAAGGTTGCATGTTTATAATGCTATCCATACTTGATACGAAACGAACATAAAAATAACTTAATTAAAGCTAAATTTTGAACATTTTATTTAAAAATAATTTAACAATGTGATTAACATGCAGCTAGTGTACTGTGCACTGAAATAAAAAAAAACATTCTACCATGATCCACAATAATAACGATTTTATCACCTATAATCACGTAGTGCATGCCTCCTAAGTAAACACTATTAGCACGAACACTTCATTATTACTTTGAGTTTATGAAAGTTCATAATATCTAGATACATGAGTATTTTTAACAGCTATTATGAAATAGAGGGAACTATTAAACAAAATAAAAATACCAATGAAAGAATACTTTGCAAATTACCGAACAACTGCGTCTTAATGAAAATGCGTATATACAATTCAATTTCTCAAAGCTACGTATAAGTTGATATAGCTGAAGAAGATTTTTCAGTTTTCTTTAGATTTTTTTTTTCTAAAATTGTAGCACTAAATAACATTGTCTAACTTATAATTCATATTTATGCCAGAACTGTTTTGTGTAAAATTTAGTTATTATATGGTCGTCTGAGACCTGGGCGAGACCTTAAATAAATAAAAATAAATCTACTATCTACACAATTATTTACTACATACAGTACCTTTAAATACTTCCAGTGCTAATCCAGGTAAGCGTTGAAAAAATTACAATTACTCATTTAGCATATTTATAGGTTACTAATTATAACTTAAAACTAATTAAACGTCTGACTTGCTCATGGTTTTGTACATACAATTTATGTATTATTTTCGATCTAACGTAGAGATTATCTATAAACTTAAATAAGTCCCCAACTAAACCCTACTCAATACATCGGGACTGATGTCCATATAGTAGAAAGAACGCTGTGACACTTAGCATTGAAATGGGGCTTGGTATTCTGGGTTTCTTATCCGTTCGATATTGATTTCTAAAATACAACCACGTTTTGTAATTAAATCACGCTAAGTCGTCAAAGAATAAAACCCAATATTTTCGTGGCAATTTCACTGAATTACCCCTTTATTTAAAACATCAGCTTACGACTCTCATCCCTGGCGTCCTAGGTGCACCGATGAGTGCGTGCGTGCTTTCTGTGTATGTGCGCATTTAACAATAGCCTGTACGATGAAAGAAAACATCGTGAGATCGGCATTAGACCCAAAAAGTCAACGGTGTCAAGTACACTCAGTTGATCACCAACTAGTCTATTAGAAATGATGACGGAACATACAGAAATCAGACGCCCTGACTTAAAAGGTTGTATCGCCATTGGTTTATCTATAATCTATAATAATATAAAAATGAATCGCAAAATGTGTTGGTAAGCGCATAACTCAACAACGCCTGGACCAAACCTATTATTTATTTTTTTATAATATTCCTTGAAGTATGAGGATGGTTCTTACGGAGAGAAAAATAAAAAAAATTGAGTGAAAAAGTCTAAAAACAACACTATTCTATATTCCCATACAAAATATTCGTAATAATACTTAAAAGTCAATTTGAACTTTAATACCATATCATAAAGTTCAAGTGTTAGTTGAAGGGTTCCGGGAAGGTAAATATTTATTTTTTGACATAATGTATTTGTTGTCTTATCAACTTTCTTTTTTTTATCTTGCTAGCTAGACCGGTGTCCCGAATAGCAGAATAAGTATTTAAAAAAAATAAAGAATCGACTGTTAGGCGGTACGATATTCGCCAGGCCAGCTAGTTTATAATAAAAATCCTTATCTAATTTAATACATTTTTTTCTCACAGTGGTTGCCTGGAAGAGATCGCTCGAAAACGCTATCGTCCAAGATAAATTGTGTTTACCCTGTGATAACAAAAGACAGAATCTCGTTAATATGCAGAAATGAGACTGGTTTATTTTAATTATTAAAAACCCCTAATAGACACCACGAATCCTTGAATATAAGAACATACGCGTAGATGCGTCCGACCCATATTGTTTACGGGACTTTATACTATAAATAAAACTTAAACGACAAGAAAATTGATTGCACTTAATATATCAATAAAGACATGATCGCATAACGGCGCATCAGGATCCAAGGAATGTGTGATTCATTAAATATGATTAATGCATTATTAGCGGCGCTTCCACACTTGATTGATGTTCAAGGAATTTCAATAAAACAAAATCGTGTTAAATTTTCGCTTAAACCCGTTAGATTTGACGCAAATTTAAGTTAAAAAAGTTTTTATTTTGTCCAAACCATATTTCTGTCGTGAATACATTTTTCATTATTATTATTAATTAGAAACGTACCTCGCAACTTATATTTATTTCCAACACACACATATACAGTTTACAATATTCTTAACCCACATAGTAATAATAATTAAATATTGATAAATAAGAAATTAAAACAAATTTAAAAAGTTTGGTCCCTATGGCAGTGTGTCCTTTAATGCTGGCATTTCCTCGCTGTGTTGCGATACTTATTCGTTAAGCGAGGAAAGCACCAGTCACCAGTCACCAGTACTGTCTTCCAAGCGCCAACTTAAATCTTTTATTAGCCTTTTATCGCCTGTGCAATTGAACCCCACGGCCCAAGAGAAATTTGCATTTTTTGACAATATATTACATATAATATGCAATTATTACAAATAATAATATATGTATGTGTAAATTCTTAAGAATATAATAATTGTTATGGAAGCTTACAATCATGTTTATACTTTCAAAAGGAACAAGACAAATAACATCCTTTTATTAAAACTCTTGCCACTATTGTTTTCTCCAACATATTGCATATGTTCAATATTTTTTTTTTATTTGGAAAAGTAATCTGAGTGTTTATTATGGTTAAACATATCTGCATTCCAATGTCAACTACCTACCTACTACCTACTTTTGCTAATTACAATGGCTATTCAATGTAAAACCTGTTCATTCGAATGTATGTCATTGGATACTTGAAATTTAGTAAATATAATGTCAGCGAAACTTATAATTTGACAATTATGCTACCTTACCGAATATAGCTACTTATTATCGGTTGTATATCTTAGAAATAATACATAATGAATCTCACAAAAATATAGTGCATAAATAAAATTATTAAACATATGCATTATTTTACTAGACCTTTTTGGTTCTCCTTTACTTGAGAACTGGCAGTTAACGTAAATTGACTTTAATTTGATATTAGTTACACAAATGTTGCCTAAATGACTTAACTAGAGCATTAAGCTTATTCTTTCATAACAGATTCACAAAGACTACAAACTATTTAAGAAAATTCTTACAATGGGTGATTAATTTGACTTAACGAATATGAATTTGATTCAAGATTGTAAATTAAATAAATATATTTCCATACCAAATCTTACACGTTATAATGCGTTATAATATATTGATTAGATTAACCAATGTCTTGGAAGATGCCGTCATGATTTAACATAATTTTCAAATATGAGTTACTGATTCGGTTTTAGAATTTAGCATGACTAACCTGGGAGGCAAACATCTCGATGCCTTACCAGTGACTCACGCGCAGGCTGCCATAACATCCTTTGTTGAGTTGTATAAACATTTGCAATATTGCAGTTCATAGTTCAACGACTGAGCTATTTTGATTTCAATAGGGTGTGAATGAATGCCGGATGCAATATCAGTTACGACGTGAAAACTATTTCTATACTAAGACGTCTTTTATAGGTGATATAGCAAACGCACTGGACCAGTTTTATAGGAAAACTAGTGGACCCCACAGACGTTGTCCTGCATGATATTTAAAGCGATTAGGATATTAAGCAAAGTATGAAAGTACAGACTGCAGTGCCATCTGCCGGGCTGATTTGTGAATCTAAACCATTCCCAGATCCCCACACACAAAAAATTTCATCAAAATCGGTCCAGTCGTTTGAGAGAAGTTCAGTGACATACACACTCACAGAAGAATTGTATATAGGAAAATAATAATTAAACACATTTCTGATAGACGAAAAATTAGGGATAAAGATTACCTTTAAGTACTGGACCTTTTGAGGGGGACAAATGGATGGAGGAAGTAAAGAACAGATACAAATGGAAAGTTCAGGCGGATGTCTTTACACGAATAGAAATAACAATAACTAACGTAGACTATGTGTATTATAACAAAACTAACACCTATTTGATTTGTAATTTCTTATAGTATGGAATTAAAGTGGCTTCATTATTATTACTAGACATTCAATCAAAAATATATTAGTTTTTTAAGCAATGACTTTTAATAACATGATTATAACTCCCATTCAAAATTATCGCACTTCTATATCTTCTGAACGATACGTTTATATTTTCGAACACGAATTCTTTGTTGACTCGTTTTTTTTAATTTAAGGAAACAAGCGGGCAGGAGGCTCACCTGGTGTTAAGTGATACCGCCGCCCATAGACACTTACATTTCCAGAAGGCTCGCGAGTGCTTTGACGGCCTTTCAAGATTTGGTACGCTCTTTTCTTGAAGGACCCTAAGTCGAATTGGGTAATACTTACATTCTTGAACTATAGTTTTCTAGTTTTTTATTATTAATTAACTATTAATTACTTTAGATCATATGAAACATGGTGTAATGGTTGCAGCTCCTTACAAACGTTGTGTAAAACAAAAAACTTAGCGATAGCGAGTGGCGGAGAGTTTATTGCCAGTTCTTCTCGTCCGTTCTATGCCCTTGATTTGAGAACTGGCAGTAAATGTAAAATACGAAGCATTTAGCATTTAATATGTACTTCTTTATTGACGTTCATAAATGTACGTTGTGTTACCTAAATGAATAAATGATTTTGACTTTATAACATTTTAAACACCCTTCGTGGCATTTTACTCTCATCTGAATACAATGAAACAGATGTATCAATCGGGTCACTAAAAATGATACTTTCACAAAGACGCCACTGTGCGTCTGAGTCAGATAAATGGGTGGTTGTTTGTTGATTAATAACGGCATTGATAAATAAACGGGCATCGCTCGGAATGCAAAATAAATGAGAACATCTTATTAATAACATTTTATGTTAAACGGACTGGTTTTATTGGGAGTCATTTCAGGAAACTGATGAAATTGGCTGAATTGTGGACGGTGAAACGGAATTGGTCAAGTATGGCGAGTCTATGCTGTTGCTAAGACAATTGAGTTCTAATACTTTATATTATCATCAATGCCACGTATTAGCGTGACCACGACATCGTATTCCTAAGAATAATCAAGGATAATCATTATTCAGTCCATGTCAAACCGAATCATGCGCGGTCAGTTTGACGTATTGACACACGTCCATGGTATGATTTGACGAAAGAATACCAATATATTTTCTATCGAAAGTGACATTGATGCTGTCAAGAGTCATTCATAAAACCTAGACCCAGTTGACACACTGTACCCACTATCTTCTCCAACTTCACAATTAGTACAAAACTATTGGACCGGTTCCAATACGTTTGTCAGATATGTTTTACAAGTCTTCTTCTTTAAGTCTCTCCATTTCTGGAGATTGGCCACATGAAGCGTGTCTTGTCCTGTGTCAGACGCAGCAACTCTTCCACAGTCGCAATAGCCGTCGTAACGTTGCGATGATTTTTCCCTCCTACCAACACGCCGTTTACCCTAGATTTTATTTATAATAATTAATTGAAGGAGGTAGCGGTCACGGCGCAACACGTATCCCAGGAACGCAACTCAAGTGACGACAGCACAAAACTTTCTTGATTTCGTTGAAATCCGGGCAGTTTCAATTCGAGACCTAATTTCCTGATCAGGATTCCACTCCTTTGAAACCTAAGTTCCCAAATACTTGCACTTGTGTGTTACAATTAAAGGGACCTAACTAAAAAGCTTTAAAGCAATACAGCAGTATGGAAGATGTTTGTCCTTCCAATTTTCGTCTAATGTCTCGTAATCTGATAGTAGACTACCCAATGATTATTATTCACTTATTTTTAAATTTTTATATACAGAACGTTCAAAAATTAACAGAATTGCACTTTTGCTAGGTATATTATTTTATCAAAAGTAAGTTTTCATTTCCTTTTCCACGAAAGCAGTTACATATCGCACAAAGTCACCAAATCTAACAAGAAACATATAAGTTTTAATATTTTTTTATCGCCAGTAATAAGAATGCCATCTTCCCTTATACAAAAGGGTGTTAAACATCTGCGCAGACGCAATAAATACACTTTCACATCGCCAAATGTTCGCTGAATCATCTTAACTCCGGGTGCGTTGTGCAATCGTATAAATCATTATAAATTATGTGTAAACCGAACAATGCCTGTGTTGAAATTCATTTTGATTTCAAGTATTATAAACAATTTGTGTCTTTATTTCTGTTAGTAAAAGGATACGTACAGATGACCAAAAAAAGTATTTTTTGTCATTTGAAATGTAGAAACGGCATTTCACATTGGTTTCAATTTCGCAAAATGTTTGAAGGAGGCCTTCTCCCGGACAGGGGCCGCATCTTAGAGATTTTTTAATAATAGGGGGGGCAAACGAACCTACGGGACCCACAAAAAGGGCAGTAATCGCAGCCCATGGACACCTATTTTTAGTGGGTGCGTTGCCGGCCTTTGAGGGAGGAGTAAACTCGTAACTCTGAATGGAGGTCGTATCTGTCAGGGAAGACTCCCATCGGGAGTCGATTCCATTTTCGCTTGCAAAGATTCAATAAAATTGTATATAGATATTATTTTTGTATAATATATGTGAATAAGATGTGGATATCTGTAATAATTATTATATACAATTACGCAGCACGTTACGATCTTAAGACATATAATTATTGTACAAAACCATGAGCAGTGTAAAATTACTAATCCTACTAAGGTACACTATTATAAAATTTGTAGCGAATAACGTAATTAATGTTCTTCAAAACTCCAAGTACCTACTTAACATTCAACATTTGAATTTAAACATTTAATTAAAAAAAATATCTTATGAGTGGTTCAGTTAAAATCTTACCTTTTTCAAGTGTTTGTTGACCCATTTCGTGAACGTTTTCTTCTGGATCGCATCTCGCTCATCTGAAAAAATAAAATAATGTTAATGTAATTGTTGATACCACGGGTCTGGTGAGGATATTGAAAAGGACTCTCTCTCTTTAATCGGTAGCTCATGTCTCGACGTCGTGGTCAGCAAGAAAGCGTCTGGAACGGACTATCTGTTTCCACCGGTTTCGGTCCAGCGCGTCTCTTATGACAGTGTACAGTTTTGAGAACGATGAGTCTTTCACTTGATCGGTCCGTTTGGTGAACGGCCACGTGATCTTTTGCCTATCTTTTACCAACCACGATCAGTTTATCCAAGTACTCATCGTCTCTGCGCATTGTATGACCGAAATAAAACACAAAGTATAAAGTAAATAATAATCTTTATTTTCTTCTTTCACATATACATACAAGGTTTTTATGATTAAACTAAGATGATAACATTAGGAAGTGTATGTGAGAGACTGGTCTCTGTAACAGGAGACCTGAGTGACAGATAGCCAGCCTCTCCACACCGGACCGGAACACGTACAATCATGTCATTGTCATAAGATACACTAGAAGAAAATAAGTATTAAGTGCTAAAAGAAAACATTGCAAACGGAGTCTGCTCCACAGCATAATGCTAAGCCAGGGCCAATTACAACCACAACACACACATTACACACATAAAATGTACCTTGTTACATATTTTTTTTTTTCCTTTTTTTGATAATTATTATTTTGTTTGTTTCTGTGTGTATGTTTCGTTGGTAATAAATGTTATGTCTATGTGTTGTCTTCCTTGGACTTTAAAAAAACTTAGTCGGGCTTCAGAGAGTATAATGCAATGCAAAAAAAAAGTTACTTTAAACCATATAGATACCCCACAGTTAACTTATACAGAACAAGTTGATTGTTATCGGTAAGACAATTATACCTGCTAAATGTGACCTTATATCTACATAAATCTATTCCATTTAATTCTGCCAGTCGGGATAGAAGACGGAGTGATATTGTGGCCTGCTCCGCAACGGTTCGTTCGAATTTTGCAAGCCGTCAGTACGTGACTCAGTCTGCATATATTTACAACAAAATAAACGCTTAACTTCAATTTCATCCTAGAGTTTTGTATGAATGTAAGGAAGTTATAACAGATTGGCTAAAAACTTTAACTTATGAGGAAACTGAGCACATTTTAGTACGAGTTCGCTAGTTTGATACCCACATACATAATTATATACTTAACAACAAGTAAACAAAACACTCACTCACTCACTCACTCACACACACACACACACATGCGCACATACACACACAACTACGCATGCATAAAATAAGTTCATAGAATTGTCAGAGAAACTATGAGAATTACATTTCATTTTATTTATTTAATTTTTTATCGGCTTTGCTTCTTAGCTGGGTTTTGTTTTTGTTTTGTATTCTTTTCTAACAACTGTCTCAATATTGTATAAATAGCGAGCCAACCCCAACACAAGTGTCTCTGACTACTTACGGGGGCTGTCTCAACTTATGTATTAATTGTAAAATTGAGATACAAATAAAAAATTTTCATTTTATTTTAATGCACCCTTTCAGATTGTAAGTCTTGAAAAGAGAAGATGGATGAGCGACCTGTGCACTTTGCATAAAATAGCAAATGGCTCACTTGACAGCTATCTTTTGGATGAACTTGACATCAAGGTACGCGTTCTGTGCGTAAGCCGCAACTATTTATGATACCCACAAGTAACAACAATGTATCCCAGAATGGTCCGCTCGCTAGAAGTATTATAATTATGTGTGTTCTCATGTTGATATTTTTCACAATAGTAGTTATGAATTTAGAAAGATTATTCGCGGTGCAGACTTGCAACCAGAATAACTTAATTTTCTTTTTTGTCATTAAATTTTTCTATTTTTTTTTTGTTATTAAGTTTGATATATGTACATATTATATACTGTATTTAATTGTTAATATTTGGTAAACCAGCACTGAAGATTCCACTAAAATGCTGTGTACAGATATAATTGGAAATTCAGGTTTACTAATGTTGCTTAGTGTGTAATAACTAGATGTATTTCACCAATCTGTTTTCTGTTTCTGTTCCTTAAATGTAAAAATAAAAATAAAATAAATACGTGTACACACGCAATCTACCAAAAAATTCTTCAAGTCTAGATTTACTTCCGTAACGAGAATAGTTTGGCAACGACCTCCGATATAAATACTTTGCCTATCATCAGGTCTAGATTGGTCGTTGAACTCGCCATGTGTTGACGCGAGATGTTTTTGCGTAATTAAAATCGAAGATTATATCTAGTACCGGCTTAAATGGATAATGAACGGAAAGTAATTATACATCTGTTAGTTGCCATATATGGATGAGTTCGATATTAGACGCAAATTTGTGTATACAATTTGTCTAGAACTAGAATTTCATCATTTCATTCGAATGACAGATTGACCTGTTTGTCGAGGCACACCAGGGAAAAAAGAGATCGCTCTTGCACTGTGGGCTGACGAGCTTAAAGACGTTGGGTTAGGCAGAAAAGAAGCTCAAGAAAATAGAGCCCGTTGGGGGAAGCCTTTACTCTTTAAGTGAAAATAGTTTTGTTTCTAAGAAACATTTATACTTAATAAAGCCTCATTTAAAATCAGGATGACACCTATGACCTTTGCCAAAAGAGGGCACACAGTTACCTAAAAGAAAATTGAAATAGAAACGTGTTTAAATGTAAAAGTATCTGAATTAACGGCTATTACTATTTTATTTAAACCAAAGACTATAATATATACATTAAATATAGACTATTATTTTTTTGAATTATTTCCATTATTGTAATGAAGGTAGATAAAAACTAAATAACTTTACGAAACTCTATAAACACATTTAATATAAATTTCTTTCACAAGAATATTTAATCAAAGAAGAGACAGCTAAGCATTAACTACATCTTAATTAAGCTCTCAGACAGATCATTAAAATACTCTACATACTAGCTGTAGTCATGTATTTACGGGAAATTAAATTCGTACCTAAGCTTATATAAACCAAGATGTCTTTTTTTATATCAGAGAGCAAATGGGGAGAAGGCTCATCTGATAAGTGACAGTGTTAGTGTCCGCCCATGGACACTACACTTAAAAATAGGTACGCTCTTTTCTTGAAGGACCCTAAGTCGAATTAGTTTGGAAACGCTTCAGTGGCAGCTGATTACGTATTATTCTAGTGGTATTTTGAACACAAACCATACATCAGCTACAGAATAGATAAACAAATAGAACATCACATTTAGATTTAACTTGACGCGTTTTTAAAGCATATTTTGCCGCGCACCACCACTATGTGGAACCAGCTGCCCACTGTATTATTTCCGAACCAATTCGACTTGTCCTGAAAAGAGCGTACCAATTCATAAAATGCCTTTTCTTGCCCGCTCTACGCCCTTGACTTACTGGTAGTAAATGTAAATTTAGAATCAATTTAACATCTTTTCTGTTGAAGTTCATAAGTGTACTTGGTTTCCGATATGAATAAAGTTATTTTGAGTTTCAGGCAACGCACTTGCGAGCCACAATGTGAGTGTCCATGACCTGCATCATTTAACATCAGATGAGCCTCCTGCCCGTTTACCCCTATTATACAAAAACAAAATTCCATATCTTTTGCCCATTAGTCTGACACTGAGTACAACACAATTGCATTTCACCTGTAAACAAACGAGAACCGCTTATGGCAGTTAAAAGCCGAACCCCGAGGGCCCATCTTAAGGGCGTGTTAAGGGCTGAGTTGTTTTTAGAGGGTGGGGTCTCGCTACCCCTCTGAACAGCAGATATTTATTTTATTATTATTAATTACTAGATAGAAGATATCAAATGGAACGTGGTGTAATAATGGTTGCAGCTCCTTACAAACGTTGTGCAAAACAAAAAACTTGGCGATTGAAAAGAGTGGCGGAGAGTCTACTGTCAGTTCTTCTCTTCCGTTCTACGCTCTTGATTTGAGAACTGGCAGTAAAATTAGAAGCATTTCATTTTTTTTGACGTTCATTAGTGTTACAATGTGTTACCTACATGAATAAATGACTACGATCTTTTTCTTGAGTGTACCCCAGCCCCACAGTCCCCGCGTAAAGCTCTACAATATACATGGCACGGGCCTGCGTTAGCGCATTTTCATCTCATTACAAAAAAAGTGGCGGTTAAAAGCCATATCGTATCGATCGTAATATTAATTTTGTCATATTACTCATAAAGGTACTTTTCATTCATTATTCACAAGACCTTCATTACTTCAGTTAAACTGACATTATGTAACCGCTGACTCACTCAAGGGTAACATGTATTTTGGTTAAAAATAATCCTATAATTTACTGTAATGGTCAACTTACATGTCACGTTTACAAAAATCTCTTTCTTGACCTTGTGCCCAATTTATTTTATTTTTTAATTTTCAACCAGTGAATGAAAGACTCGAAAATGTCTATATTTCCTTTCTTGGTCTGTTGGAATCATTATTAATTACACAAATATATTATGAATCATAGTTTATGCTATCCCGGACTCCTTGTGATATTTTTCCTTCTACCGTTTGTGTATTTATGGCGCATATAGAAGATAAATCCATCCGAAATCCCGACCTTCCTCAAGTTAGCCGCAGATTTGATCATCCGGCAAAAGCTTATCTCAAATCTGGATTTACTAGGAAGAGATCGCTTATAAGACCGCCCGTTTCTTTAAATTTATTACCGAATTTTATATTTTTTGCCGTCTTGTGTCCACTAAATTTACTAAATCTGTAGCGTTTAGCTTAGTTTAGTTTACTACACGATAGGTCAAATATGTCAAACACGTATTAGATTTTTTTGTAGGATACATTTTTGGGATGCGTTGCCGGCCTTTAAGGGAGACCATTGACTAGAATACATTCGCCTTTACACCTGAAACTTGAATGTGAATCTTATCTTGTCCCTGGCCTCTAAGGTGAGAAGTCTCTAAAGCCCTTAAACCCTGGACATAGTAGATATGATTTCATATGATAATATCTTCAGTT